CTCAAAAGAGAGGGGCAGTGTAATACTTTGTTTATGCGACCACGTGGCGTTTGCAGTCACTTTAGAATTTGTCTGGTTCCTATGCATGTGGACTGGCCTTTGGGCCACGCTCAACCCCCACTTGCCCTGTCGTCTTCGAAATGCATGTATTCAACCTTACTTATGTCTTCTTCCACCCTGTGGGTAGTCTCGGGCGCTACATCAGCCTCACTCACTGCCTCCTTCCACCCTATAAGAATATTCAGGACGATACGTTAATATATTCCTAGACAAATTGCTACAGCATTGCGAAAATAATAAGTAAAATATTGCGGTGCAAAATATGTAAGAGCCGCCTGTCTACCCTTTGGTTCCTGAACCTCAGAGTTCATGTGACAGTTGGTCGCGGATGATTAATTGGGCATTTGTTATTAGGAAGGATGGGGAATGGGATACATCTGAGGAGAGTAGGAGATATCAATCAGAGGGAGGGTCCTCGCCGGCTTCACGCACGTGATTCGCGTTCCCAACCGGTTCCCGCCTCTCACCCATGAAAGTATACTTAAACACACCAGTATGCATAAAAAATCAATGTTGAAAATGTGCTTGGAATGTTTTGTTTATATGACTACCTGACATATGGCTGTTCGTTTAGATTGTCTGGTACCTATTCATGTGGGCTGCCTTCGGGACAGTTCAGGCTTCATTTCTTCTAGCGTCTTCAAAATGCACGTATTCAACCCCACTTATGCCTTCTACTGCTTTATAGGAAGCCTCAGGGCGCTACAAAACTAATGGAGAGCGATATCATTATAAAAGAAAGGACGCGATTTTAGGTAAAATGAATGAATATCCATCCTAATTCAAAAAACGTAGAAGTTTATTTATATTACAAAATGATTTCAAAAACCAGTAAGTGTAAGCAAACGTTTAAGCCAAGCTCCAAAATAACCACTTTTCTAAGCATTGAAGGCGTGTTTACCGACCCAACGATTGCCTTCTTCTGCCTGAAATTAGTTTCTTATATTAATTTTTATTGTTTAAATTTAAACAAAAAGCATATTTCGTGCATTTTTAACCATATATACTCAAAACCGAAAAAATTTGTTTAAATTAGTTTAAGATTTACATTCTTCCTTCTGATAATCGCCTTCAATACAAAAGCAGTTTACGGAGTTACGACATATGCTGTGAGCATGGTACAGCTGTCCCGACGTGAACGTAAAGAACAGTACTTCAAGAAGTTCTCAACGATTCTCCACAACTATGAACGTTGCTTTGTTGTGTGCGCTGATAATGTCAGATCTACTCAGATGCAACAAATCCGAGGTGCCCTTCGGGGTTCGGCTGAAATTATTTTCGGCAAGAACACTCAAATGAAAAAGGTTATTAACAATCAGTTGGTGCGAGATTCCCGTTTGGAGAAACTGCTTCCCCTTTTGAAGGAGAATGTTGGTCTCGTCTTCACCGTGCGGGATCTTGGGGAGGTGCGTAGAGCTCTTGAGAGTAATCGCCTTGAAGCACCAGCCAAAGCCGGCACAATTGCACCCTGTGATGTTACAGTTCCTGCTTTAAACACTGGACTCGGTCCCGAGAAGACCAGTTTCTTCCAGGCTCTGAACATTCAAACCAAGATCACTAGGGGTACTATCGAAATCCTCAACGATGTTCCTCTTATCAAGAAGGGTCAGAAGGTTGGTCAGAGTGAGGCCGTGCTGCTGAAAATGCTGAAGATTAATCCCTTTGACTATGGCTTACAGATCCGTCAGGTAGTCTTTGGCGAGTGTAACTGCTGTGTAGGTCTTCGATCAAGGCTGTGTTTATGGGCCGGAAGTTTTGGATATCACA